AGATCACTATGTGTATAATAAGAAAAAAAATCGAGCAACAGCACTAACCTTTCCAGCAGTGACTGTACGGAGGGTATCGACGAGTTTCATTTTCAGCTCTTCGTTTGGCATTTTCTCCACCATTTCACAAGCATCGCGGACCTGAAGCAATTAACATCCCTACATGGAAAAATCAAACATCAAGTAGCTTCAATCAATTCACCATTTTAGCGATGGCCATTTTGATGATGAGTCGTTTCTTGGACAGCGTCAGGATAGTATCGTTCAGCAGGTCCCACTTCTTCCCCTCGAAGCACAATTTCACCTAGAAGGAGATATTTGAAAAGATAAAATCCGCCCTTTCAAAAATGCAAACATACCATGTGCTGTACAATCCTTGTATTACTCTTCATATCGGATCCCAGTCGAGACAACTTCTCCAAGTTTGCAAGCGAGTCCAGTGCTCCAGCAACATCTCCCTTCTGAACGCACAGAATTAATGGAAATGCAAAAAAAAAGAAGGGATCTTACCGCCGCTATGGCATTGGCTTTAGGAATGGCTTCATCAACTTGGCTTTCATAATCGACATCCATTTTGAAGAGCCTACCATCTCCAACCTGGAAAAGAAATTTGAACGCAGCTCAATACGAACCAGTTAAAACAAATTATTAAGCTATTCCGAAAATTCTGTCACTTTCATTTTGAAAAATTCGTGACTGCTCCCTATATGAACATGTTGGCTTGCAGAAAACACCACTAGATAGAAAAATCCATCTAATTTCTGATAGCTTCCTTGCAGCCCTTAGACAAACAGTGACCCCAGAGTATAAAATTAGAAAAGAAAAGCCACTCAAAGTCCCGATTCTCAAGAATAAATCGTCAAAATCTGAAATGCTGCAGGAAAATGGTGCCAAGCTTGTGTCGATTGAGCTTTTCTACGAAAAGTAATGTTTCTCGTGAAAAATGCAAGAAATAATAAAAAGCGTCATTTTCGCCGTTTTTTGTATTTTTCAGAAAATCATGACCTTTCGTAGAAAAGCTCAACTGGCGCAAACTTGGTACATTTAGAAACAGCAGCTCACAAAACTCTAAAAACATGCTCTCAAATTCCTGCAGCATTTCAGAATTTTTGACGATTTAATTTCGAGAATCCGGACTTTGAGTAGCTTTCCTTTTCTATTTATCTCTGGAGTCACCTGTCGTTCAAAGGCTATAAAGAAGCTATCAGAAACTAGATAACTGTTCTATCCAAAGGTAGATTTTGTAAGCCAACACAATCACTTAGGAAGCAGTTACGAATTTTTCAAAATGAAAGTGACAGAACTTTCGCAACAACCTGATATTTACCTGAGCAGCAAGATGAGCCATCAGCTCCTGATCTGTTCGTGCACCAGCCTTGATCGGCTCCACTTTTACTGCTTTACCTTCACTCATTCTAAAAGCTTGTTTGTAAAAGGTCAACACTTGGCAGTAAAA